CCTATGTAGATGGCTGAGCATCCGCTTTTTAAGTTGAAGCTTGTTTCCCAAAGAACGAAAGTCGATTTTACAGCCAATTGGACCTCTAAGACTGTCTATTTAGCACTCCCACTGTAGGTGAATTGTACACTTAATTTTATAAGTATCCGAAATACGATTTTCCGCTCACTTTGTTTTTTTTTCTCGGAAATCACTAGGGAATGTTGTTAACACAAACCTTCACCACCCATACCGTTTTTTGACACGGCCATTTTCTGTTCTGATGGAATCTATTTAACCTGCAAACATATGTTTCACAGTGTTGCCCCATGTGTACAACTTGTTTACCCGCGGATAGATTTTCTATCTTCGAAATATGAATTATGCTTGTAGGATTTGCCTAATTTGACATGGAAATGCGGTCTATGAGGCTAAATATAATCGAACACCCTCCACCCATTATTGTCCCTTCTCTTCTCATGCAGCTTCTTACGTTAGCCAGGCTCCATCAGTGGCCACTGGATTTGCAACATTGCGTAAGTTTTTTCCCCATTACATATCCTAGTCTTCTAGTGCTTGGAGAAGTCCATGCATAACGACCACTTCGCAGTCATACTGACTAAGCCGATAGTTAAAACGGCACAAATTCAACGCCCCTATTGTTTGGATTGATGCGGTTGGGTTAAATTGTGAGGGCTATGATAAACAAGAAGTTGAATGAATTCTATCAACCAGCAGAGGAATACACATAATAATAAAGAGGACTTCGTTCATTAGACTACCGGTATCTATCTCTCTCCCACCGGATTAGAACTGATCAAGCAGTGTATCTCATCTGTTGGCAATACAATTGCTGTCTCCGCATGGCGCATACTATCGTGCCGGAATAATTAGACCCCAGTCCGGTCTGACCGGGCTGTAGAGCAGTTTGTCGGGTTTATGGAAGCGGATTCGCGTCTCAGCTTCTCACATCCACAGTTCAGAGTTGGTTACTGAATGATGAAGATCACATTGATGCAATATGCCCTCAAGGCCACAACAGTCGATAAGTTCAGATGTGCTACTCCAACAAAATAACACTGTTTGTTTACTTTTTTCAGAATTAGTTCAGTGGATGAAGATTTTCTCGGATGTGTGTATATATATAGTCACCAAGAGGAGCGTTTTAGAATCCGGTTTCTACCGGATAACTGCTTGTCTACGCAACTAATTATATTCCGTGGATTAGTGTTGAAAACAAGTAGAATAATGAAAGTTGGTGAACAATGAGTTCTCGTCCTATCCCATTTATCTTTTGTGTTTGACACTAGTTTTGATCGGCTAGGTATATAAAGGTATATAGGTATATATATAAATAGGTATATATATATAGGTATATATACTGGATAACATATCACCTCCATTTAGTTCGAAGTGTCTCTCGTAACAATCCGTTTACGGAGTAAAAACCAGTTAAAAAATACTTTCGTTCCCTGTAATGAATTGGCAGTCTTTGCAGTTAGTCAGTCTTTCTCTGACAGACCCACACTAGTTCCACGGCGAAATGTATGGTTTTGTTTTGTGGTCATACTTAGCCACGATCGCTCGCGAAAACTGCCGCTTCGTTTTGACCTACTTCAGTATCACGTGATTGGTCCAATCGATCTGTCTAATTTCTCAACAACCTACTGAATGACGTTGAGCATTGCTCATACTTAAATTGTACTTCTTAGGATTATTTATGACTTAGTTAGTAATGCGTTTTTTTATATCATTACTATGATTTATAAGTGGTGTATTCCTCCTTACTGTTTTGAACCTATACTATTTAACCCCGTTCTCGATATTGTCTCATCCCCGAAAAACATATTTATATTATACCGACATTCTTTTCTATTAAACTAATCAATTTTTGATGACCTAACCAAAAATTTACCCGGAGGGCCATTTATTCAATGCTTATACCTCCTCTGTTTCACTGTTTTATCTCTGACAGCGGTCACCCTTACCAGAGCACCGTCTATAACAAGCTTTACCAAAACTTTCAGTAAGTCTTTCAACCAGATGGATTTTCATTCTCATCCTACGTGTTCACATATGTTTGCATGCACAAAAATTCATGTGTAAATTGGGAACTGGTGTATTACGATTTAGTGTTCATCCGACTGCCATCTACCTTCACGGAATCCTAAATTTTGCCTCGATCTGTGTATTTCTCATTCATTTTAGCTGCCTTTGAGAAACCAGTTGGCACAAAATTCATCACGTCCCAACAATTCAGTAAGTCTTGCACCCATGTGAGATGGAAAATATGGAATCACTTTGTACAGTGTTCGTAGGTGTCAACTACATAACTTTGATACGTCACCGTTACTATATTCACTTCTACTAGTACTTATTTTAACAATTTTATGCAGCCACTATATATATGAGAATATGTATAAATTAAAATTCTTGCTTTCCACTGTCCCGCGGACCTCATGAGGGTACTGCAATTTAGTATCATGAATAGATGATGCGCACAGCAACAGATTCATTCATTATTCTACCTTGCCCTGTACCCCGTTTTTTCCCCTTTCGTAGCATACCACGTTGTTTCTCAGGCCCCAAGTCAAACATTCACCAACAAGATTGGTGAGTATTTTGTATGCAATTTGAATCATCGTTTTACCCGGGCGAGTACATTTGGATAGTTACTCATCCGGAATAAAGAGACAGTTTGTGAACGAACCATCGAGAACTTTTGTTTATAGTGTTCTATGACATTTCTAACTCCCGATCAATTTGAAATTTCAGAATACCTGGTCACCCAACCAGCTATCCTGACCAAGGTCACCAAGACATACAGTAAGTGGATTGCGAAATAAAATCATCTTTCAATGAAACAGTCATTCACAGACGATCCGATCGTAAAAGTGTACAATTATTCACAGAACTTTATATCGTATTTAAGGAACAGATCAGATTTCCTCCTGGGAAACTTCATATTGTTGAAATATTTTCACTATTCGCATTCATTCCCGATAGCATGCATCATAATCATTTCACTAAGCCACGTCCAAATAGCGAAAGATTTACACCTAAATCCCATTTTGTACAGTTTGCAATTTCAAGAATCCTGACTGAATTCACGCCTTTCTTAAAATCTCATCTTCGTATAGCTGCATGCTCGCCCAAATGTTCCTGTGACAACAAATGAGAAGAGAACAGAACAGAAAACAGAGGTACGATAAAAATTAATTCTTGAAAGTTGACAAACACTATCTTCGCCCCACCCCCACCCCATTTTCAGACGGATTGATTGTCTCAGTTATTCTGTTTTAGTTAATGATAGACACCAATCATGATAATTAAATTATTTCACTGACTGAACAACGACATTATATCCTTTTAAGTAAGAAAGTTATGCTCAGGCAAAAAACTTCTTGAGAACACAAGAAAGATAGGTGTGGCAGTAAGGGGTTTCGAACTCACAAACCCTAGGGATGAGTTCATTCCGGTCTATGTACCGTCCACGTTCGAAATCAAGAGCACACACCATGCAGTTGATGCGGAACTGAAGAGAAGATGAATTCTCTGTTCATATCAACAGATCAACTCGAATCGCCCAGTTTCCAACAATACCTAATCGGTCGGGAAACGGGNGAAACGGGTTGTGGGCCTTCATTGCGGACTTTATTGATTGAACCGGAGATTATCAGATCATAGCACTTCTTCGTCACAATATAATACAATGGGTGATGCGAACCTGTAATTGTAAAGAACTAAATTCTCACATGTTCTAAATGGCCGTTTAGAACTGAAGGATTTCATACAAATAATAGACACTCCCTTATAGAGGTATAAAATAATATCTCCAAGGTAAAGATAGGTCATTAGTGTTTTCTTGGGGGTAACGTAAAATTCAAAGTTAAAATGGAACAGAACATTCTAGATTGTTTCAAATTTATTTTCAAGGTCACCGAAAGAGTATATTCTAATCTACGCCCTATGTGTTCTGAATGATATCTTGTTGCTCTGTGAGAATAACAACTTCAATATTCGACTCAAATTTCATGAAATTAGAGAAAAACTTTTGGCAGCAATTCAAAATATCGTTGCAGGTTTAAACAGCAAGACTCCCCTTCCCCTATCCAAGAAAAAAAAAGAAAAACTGACCAGATAATTTTCTTTCTTGACTTTTTCTCCCTTTCTATCTCTCCTTCTCGTTCCCCAGATGGCCGAAATCGCCGGGCTAACACACAACACTCGTCTCGGTTGTCTGCATCCAATTTCTAAATCTCAGTTCGTATAGGTTGTTCGTGCAGACTGATTCCGGGACTAACCAGTGTTTGTGTAAAATCCTCATTCATTATTGATAACGAAAAGTAAAATAAAACCTGCTTGTTTCTTGAACGTTCTCTTCTCTTCCCCTAGTTGCACAGGTGTTTCTCCGTCATATCACGCTCGGGGTTTGGTGCAAACGTGTGTCTGACAGGCATTGTCGATACGTTAACCCGGCAATGTTGAATTGCTAAATAAATAAATAAATGTATCATAGATACCATCGTGCAAGCGTTAGTGTGATTCAATGCTTTGATTCCTAATAAGTGATTCGTAATTCGTGATCTGTGCTTAATTCAATCTGGTTTCTTTGAAACCTTTCAAAGGCATTTGAATTACTCAGGATATCTGGTTCTGTTTCCTGCAGGTGCACTGTCAGAATTGTCATTCTGACTGTCTGATACTCGAAGGTTTGGAACTGTGCAGGTACCGGAAGAACTGAAACAACGGAGGGACATTTTTTGTCATTGAGCAATGCAAATTTTACCAAAAACGGTCCCGCACGCTTCCCAAGAGATGTGCCAAGGTCATTCAGACGTTTCAGTTGATGAGACTGTAAGACTTCTAATCGACTTGGGGACTGGGTATAAATACAGTAAAAGAATGAGATGACCGATGGGTGTCTGGTCCTGTACCCAGCTACACTGGAAATGAATCAGAATGTGACCGGTGGAAATACTCTGCTATATTGGTACCCAGTTACTCTCTTTCAGTTAGTCCCTGTGTGATAATCAGCCGGCTTCGTGAATATCCCGAATTTTCCCTGTCCAGCCACGACAATTGAAGGTTGTCTTGGGACAATATATCAGGGAGTAGAGCAGGCATCCCACACCTTCCATGATGGATTCCGGAAAGACTCTGCAACTGGTTGCTTGGAGGGTTTGAACGATATGCCAGGGAGTCAACAGCAGCGGCATTCTTACTGTCCTTTCTTATCAAACTCGAATGCCTGAACAAGTGTGTAATTGCAATTCGACTGTATACTTTGTGTGTTGATCATGAAGATTTAATTTCTTCCCGCCCGCCCGCCCCCTTCCCACTCCACTCGCACAAAAAACGGTCAACACCCTGTCCATCTAATATATTACCACTAGTCAGTAGATTAATACAAGGCCTAGGCTGATGTGTGTCTGTGTTTTCTGTCGATATCAAGCTGTGGGGTTAAGATAATTGAATAGGGAAAAGTGGAATGAAAAATGTGTGAACTGGAGATGATGATATGAAATGTGTTAGTCCAGAGTGAATAAAACAGATGTGAACGTGTGCAAAAAAAAGATAGTGATTGCGAAGTGACAGGGGCGTGGGGGAGGAAACGGGAGGGAGAGAATAGGTGTCACATAGGTAATTGTTCTTATGGCCATAGTAACATCAGGGCCGGAACCAGATTACATTGCTTGCACAACTCCGGCTTCATGATTCCGCAGTTGTCAGGATCTGTCTATGTAATCCTTTGGCCCGGTTCTTAGGTGCAGTGAAGAAACTTGTAAATGATGTTTCTGAGTCAATCCTGTGTTCACTGTCGACCAAATGTTGCCGGATAGAGCTGTTCAGGCTTCTCACTGTTCCTTTTCGAAGGGTGGCCGGACAGTGTTCAGATATTCTCTTGGGGAAACGCCTCGTTGTGTGTCCGATATAACGAGCACTACAAGTGCACGTGAACTGATATAGAACAAAAGATTGGGACTGATGAGACAATTTATCTTTAAGTTGTTGAACAATGAATGGCTTAGACCTGGATAAGAGTCTTAAATACGCGGTGGGAAAACAGTTGGAAATGGCTTTGGATAGCCGATATTCCAGGATTTCTAATTCCTTGTCTCCCTTGAAGGGAACAGTGGCAAACACCTCCTCCTTTCTTTCCAATTGCACTCTTGCATCGGTTGGTTTCGATTCCATATGTCGTCGAACAGACACCTGTGGATATCCGTTCTTCTTCAGAATGTCTTTTATATAGGCCAATTCTTCGGTCAGTCTCCGGACTACAAATTCTCTTTGCCCTGTATGCTAAACAGTTCACTAAATTCCGCTTGTATCTCAGTGGGACAAAACTTTGAAAATGTGTGTACTGTTCAACCCACATGCATTTACGGTGTCACCATCCTCCATACGACTAAGACCAATGTCCCGTTTCCCTCACTCTCCATTCACTGTCTTTTTCGCAAACATTCACACCTGTTTTATTCACTCTGGACTAACACATTTCATATCATCATCTCCAGTTCACACATTTTTCATTCCACTTTTCCCCTATCCAATTATCGTAACCCCACAGCTTGATATCGACAGAAAACACAGACACACAGACATTCATTCAACATCAGCCTAGGCCTTGTATTAATCTACTGACTAATCGAACTATATATGTAAATGCCTGGAGCGAGATATCGAAAAGAAATTTCTTCGCGTTCCGACTTTGTTCAAATTATCACTAACTTTGCATGTATTACCAGTGTGGCAGCGATCAGTGAGGTTCATTTCGGTGTATTTTGCTGTCCGATATCTTCAATGACGAATCACGTACACAATTCGAAGCACCCTCTGTCCTCTCAACAGTCCATATCGGGTCTTAGGAAGATTTTCAGTTCTCTAACTCCACCGTTTCGTCAGGAGAAATAGATTCTACGATTCTGAACAATTTTGAGCGGCTCGTCGTCCTTTTTCCCGATGTAATATGTAGTCCAATAACTGAGGGTTTCAGTCCCGTTTATTTCATACAATTTTGTGCGACCGTTTTAGTTGCTCAGTTGGATGAGGAATTAGCGAGAACAATTCGAATGTTCTACGCAACATCTAAGCGAACAAAGACAATTCAGGAAGACTACATATGCATGAATACTGAGTGGATGCACGAGCTCCGCTGTTTCCAACAATCGAGCCCAGACTCACACTGTCGTCTACACTAATCCCGGGCTCCCCGGGGGAAATAATCCCCTAACCTAACCGTATGACCGGTCAGGTTTTCCATACCCTCGTACCGAGTTTGAGTTCGACTCTCCTACCACAGCACACTAAGGAAGCCACTCGCATAATATGTATTATTTACTCAGCACGTAACCAATTACGAAGAACTGGCAAATGTGCCACAAGATACTAACAAAAAGAAATCTGTCGAATTTGTTCGTAGGTTGTGAGCATGTTACGTCCCGGTTACCTTGACCGAGGAAGAGGGATAATCTCGGGATCCCCACCGAATGCCTTTGGCTAGAAGGCCAGACCTGAAAGGGAACAGGACGGAGCTCAGAGTCCGTAGTCCATTGAGGGTCGGTGTCTAGTTAATTGGACTATACGCCCTTTGGACGGGATCAAACATCCAAGGTGCCCAATACACATTGATGCCAAATCGAGCCGATGACCACTACCACAACCGGAAAGGTGTGGGTGTGGTTCGTACACCTCCTCTTGGTTGGTTTGGAATCAGGACTTTTAGCCACCTCCCCTAGGTGAACTGCCAATGGTTCACCAACCCGGTTATGGCTCCGGATGTCGGCTTTTCGTCCCCTCACTTTGGTGCGAAAACACCTCCACCACAAGAAGGCAGTGAGTAGGGTTTCCTCAACAGAAGCTATTTGAGACGTTTGGTTGTAGGGGGGCATTTCGCGAGGTGCAGGGGAAGGGTGACCATCCGCAACCTTAGACACCCACTCCCGACCATACTGAAGCTTTCGGAGGACATGCGTACTACTGTGAGATGCTTGGCTGGTATGTGCGGCAGGATGTCCCCCGTGAACGAGTACACCAGATAACCGCAAATGGGCCGAGTGTAGATGTGAACAGTAACCGTCGACAGACAGGATGTTCTCCGTAGAGAGAGGAAAATGTAGACACCATGAACCAAGTGGTCTAGTGAGATAAAAACACGACTCATTCAAGTTGTCAAGGTCGTTACAATACATCATCATAATCTATGTACAGCAAACGTTTGCGCTAGTGTGCTACGTAGATTACCTAATATTCATTGCCTAACTTCACCACTGCCTCACTGCTTGTTCCACCAAGCTCCACCGATGCGTTATAGTCAGGAGTGTTCAAACACCAGTAATTATTTGTTCTGTTTCAGTAACAGACAGGTCTCTCCGTATCACATAGGAGAAACAAACGCACAGCTCTGCAGTATACACTTAAACCAACACAAACAGAGGAATGTTTTGAATGGAACACAATGTAGCGAACAAGACTTGTTTTCAGTGATTCGTTTTCTTTGGCTAATACATCACGATTTATATAACTCGGTTAAAATACGGAGGGAAGAGATATTAATTACAAAATAATGACAATAATAAATTAGTAATCACATGAGATCCATGGATGGAACGGATCTCACTGAAGAACTTGGGCGTCGTGCTCATGATTATTGAGCAACTTAGCTTGTCTTAGCCACGACGAACGAAAAACCAAAACACACGGCGTTGGTGACAACGTTTTCTACTCTCTTGGAAGGCCTTTCTCAAGTTGTTTAATCGGTTAATCTCACGTTACAAGCAATGATAAGGCAATGGGATGATGACATCTTATAGAACTCGAACATACGCGTATGTGTGTAACGTGAGATTAACCGACTGAACAACTTGAGAAAGGCCTTCCAAGAGGGTAGAAAACGTTGTCACCAATGCCTTGTGTTTTGATTTTTCGTTCGTCGTGGCTAAGCCAAGCTAATTTTCTCAATAAATTAATAAACTTAAGGGAATATAGATAATGTCTACTGTTTTCGGTGTGTTGTTTAGTCCGGATTTATCCAAGATTGGGAGGGGTGGGTGAAAATTGGGTAGGTGGAGGGCCAAAGGAGACACAATGTCTTCACAATGCGAATTCTCACTGTTTTCGTCTTGACCAGGATGCGATATTTAATCCACGTAGATTATTGTTCACACACCCGGTATGGGGGACGACTGCGCTCTGATCAAGTCAACTAAATAACCTGATTCAATAAAGTGTGAACAGATTACGCGCTCGTAATT